GAAGTTTCCTCCTACATACCGCTCTAACGCCCTTACTTTATTTTCCCTCCTTGCTGACAGACCCACTTTGGACACAGACTCCCTCTTCGACTTTTTGACAGCAACTAATTTATTACACAAACTTTGATAATTATAATCCTTCCTTTAGCACTCCTCACAGCCCCTACTAATTTTACCTTCATTGTCATCTCCACCCTTATTTATCCTTAGGATGATCCTGCATCACTTCCTACCCTGGTAGGTTTAGCGCTTCGTTTTGGTTATAATAATAATCAGTGTTGAAGTTTTCTTTCAGGACAAGTGAGATAACAGAACTGGAAGAGATGCAGAGATCATTTACGACCCGCTTAGAGTCATTAAAGCACTTAAATTATTAGGAACGCCTGAAAGTCATAAATATGTACCTGTTAGAACGAAGAACATACTAGAATGAGGCACAATAAAAGAACAATGTATGAACATCCATGGACTCAGACAGTTCAGAACTCTTCCACAAGACATCAGAAATACTGTCGGAACAAGCCTAGGCATTTTAAAGAGGAAATTGGGCATCTACTTCTGCTAAGTGCTGGACCAACCGGGCTGTGATGGATATGTGGGCCAACGGACAACCGGCAGTAACAGCCTGGTTGATTAGGAAAGCACCAGACAAGCCTTGCCCAGGGCCGAGCAGCAAGAGTAAGAATGCTCTCAAAACTTCGAAGGTTTATCAAAGGTAAGGCATGGATAGCTAAACTTATGGGAGACAAATGCAGAAGTGTGGGGCAACAGTGGTGTGTGGGATAGTGGGGAGCAGTATGTGTGTGGAGCAGGAGGTAGAGGGAGGACAGTAACCTAGAGTGTGATTGCCAAGGTCGTGTGCAACATGTTGAACATTGTCCCAACAGGTGGAGTGCAGCCTGCTGCTGGCACTGCTGCTGCTGCTGCTGCTGATGTTACTCATGGTGCTATTGCTGCTCATGGTACTGCTGGTTTTCATGGTGCTACTGCTTTTCATTGTGCTACTGCTTTTCGCAAGAGATTAGGCTAAAGTTTTATATGACAATTTTCTCATCTTTATTTTTAATTAAATGTTTATAAATTAATGTGAAATTTGCCCTGATCTCACATTGGGATGGTAATGAGGTTCATGATAGTGAGAGGGACTGTGTGTGTAGGGATACCAGGCTCTTGCTTAAGTTTCTTTGTTGATGAGGAGTATGAGTATCGGGTGAAGTAGTGTACTGTGGGAAAGTGTTTGGGATTGTGTAATGAAGTGTTGCAATGTGTGACCCTGACCACGCTGGGGGATGGGGTTGTAGGTTTTGCAGAGTGCTGGAACAGATAAATTCTTCAACACTACATAATCGCAAAACTGAACACGACGTATAGCTCGCATGCAATCAGAAGACACAGCAGAAATAAAATAACCCAGTCATTAAATAATAAATATGTACAATCATAAGAGCCTTAAATTTTTGCACTTCATTATGAATTCTATCAATTCAAGCCAAGCGATTTTCATAAAATACCAGTACGGTCATACAGACACCCCAGTACATATAATGGTAGTGTGTAGACTAACTTGCTGAACACACCACCTTGTCCATGTTTACCGTACGTTGTGACGTGGTAGCGGTCGACTAGAAGAATGGCAGGATAATATAAACTCACGTATACTAGATGTGGTTTATTGGTAGAATGACACGTACACGCATGTGGGCGGGCACGCCTCTCCTCCCCTGTCCCATGAAACTTCCCGACCTCCTGCCTCTACCCTGCTGTGCCCACAATCATGGTTTACTTGCAACCACCACCACTGTAAACAAATCTAGGTATCCAGGTCAAAAATCGAAGAGCTTTGGAAAGAGGGCCAAACATGAGAGGAGTAAGGGTTCAGGGGTAGTAATCTGGCCTCTCAGGTCTCTCAGTTTTGGCTTGCTGCACCAAGAGCGAGTGTGGGAGTGTTAACTGGTGGTGTTGGCAACCATTGCTGGTGGTGAGAGGGCCGTCAACTCTAGCTAGGTAGGTATGATACGGGCTGAATTAAAGGATAGGGGATGATCGAAGAGGGGATGCGGGAGGGATGAGTAGAAGAAAGTGTGATTGAGGGGAAAGAGGGATGATCATAGGTATTGATTCTTAATTTAACAAAATTGGATATATCAGCAGTGTGTTGTGAAAGTACATAATACAAAGAAATACATGAAAATTTCCTAAAATATTTTTAATCGAATATGTTGATTTCTTAAGTTCTACTCTTTTTGATTCGCCTGTAAATGCCCCTCTTTTGACCTATGATTTGAACTTAAGTTTAGAACTGACTTGACCACTGACTGGATAACCTGCTTAATGATTTGCCTATTTACTACATAGACTGATTTACCCACTTTCTTACAGAATGACTGACTTACTCCGCTTACTTAGGAAATGGCTGACTGGCTGACAGACCAGCCGACCCAAGACAATGCAAGGCAATAATCATATTATTGCAAAATAAAGTTATACAAATCTGAATCGA